TATTATTATTATTATTATTATTATTATTATTATTATTATTATTATTACAACATATGCTGTGTTTTTTAAGTCCAGTGCAATTAAATGCTTTGTAGCAAAATGCTCATTTGTAATTTGCATCTTGTTCCAATAGGTACTTTTATTAAAAAAATCATAAAAATAAATAAATAAACATAAGACGAATGAGGAAAATTAGATTAAATTAATAAACAAGATAAAATGAATCTAGAAATAAAAAGCACAATATTTAGTACAAGTAAATTTATTACCCAATTACCCAAAACTTTGCAGCTTACTTCTTTTTTAAATTTATAGTAGATTTTTTCATAGTATTGTTATTACACAAAAATTATGAATAATGTCCAAGAACTAAGACCCAGATTGGATTCTTCCCCACTTACTCTTCTGAGCTGTGCGTCGTGAGTGTAAAGAAAACGACTGTAAGGTTAAATGGAGGATTTGATCGGTTCAGTCTCATTAAGTCGTGTGTGTGTGTGTGTGCGTGCGTGCGTGTGTGTGTGTGTGTGTGCATGTGTGTGTGTGTTGCATGTTCAATAATCCAGGTAGAAAGATCTAAAAAAGTTAAGTCAGGTCTTCTGGACGGGTTCAAAAAACAATAAATTGTAGAAACGTTTCGTCTTTCATCCAAAAGACTTCTTCAGTCTTCTTCAAACTGAAGAAGTCTTTCGGATGAAAGACGAAACGTTTCTACAATTTATTGTCGTTTGAACCCATCCAGAAGACCTGACTTAACTTTTTTAGATCTTTTGTGTGTACTTTTAACTAATAAAGACAGTGTTGTTGTCTTTATTGTCATTATAAAATATCTTTCTCATTATGGTTTTTCTTGTAGGGTCTTCAAGAAAGACTGATGCTTCTGTTTCCTGAAGACGTCCTGCTGCTTTCTGTCGACAGCAAACGGCTGAATGTAAAATACGAGGTGAGAAAACTCATATTAGCACCTCCTGAACCACTGCGGCAAATGTTTCTGTCTCAGTCACTATTAGACAGACTTTTGTCTTATAGCACATGCCTTTACGCGTTAATGCAACATTTATGAAATTAGAAAATTCTTCCAAAACATTTTATTTTTTCCTGTTTCTGTCTCTGACAGGGCAGGTTGGCTCGAAACGGCATTAAAGCAGTGGAGCGCACAGCTCGTCCTGGAAGGCTCGAGTTTGAGCTGATAGGTACAGCCTCCCCCCCCACACACACACACACACACGACATCAACGCATTTAAAGCTCGACCATGCAGCAAACTGAGTGCAGGGACTGACTTCATGTAATTGCTGTTTTTGGTGCAGGTGAGCTGCTGGAGCCTCTGCAGGTCTCGTGCACCTGCCTGGAGGATTACCAGAACTGGGTTTTTCACCTGCAGCAGGTTTGACTCATTTGTTTATAAAGTCATTATGTTTTAAATAAGGAGCTGACCAAAACCAAAAATGAGTAAAACAGTCTGTGAAGCCAAAAACAAATCAACAAGTTGTAAAACCATTCATCAATAAAACTGTTAAATCAAATAAATTCAAAATTTAAAATAAGATTTTGCATAATCTGTTAGTGCTCAGAGTATAGATTGGGAATAAGTAGCTATTTTGTGTCGGCTGCAACTGATTAGCTGTGGCAGCCATCTTGAGCCAGGCTGACAACAAAAATAATGACTAGTGGAAGCACTTTTACCATCTGAGAGTTTTATTGAAGTCCATCCTGATTCACAAGACGGTTTGCTAACAGTTTAGCAGGTGCACACTTACATAAATTATAATTACGCTACAGTATAGTCCACTTTTCATGGTGAGACAATGTCATATTTTGTTATGATTTAGTAGTTTAACTACAAGCAATGAGTATATTGAAGTAAAGCAGGTTCAGGCTAGTTGTCGATAAAAACATGTAAAATGTTTAATTTACTGCAGCGCTGAAAAGTTTTGCAGAATACGTCATTTAAACCAACATCTGCGCTGATTAAAAAAAAAAAACACTGGCTACCTTTGTTATGCAGAAAACCGATTAAAAGGAAAATGCTGAGCAGCGACGTTCGTCCTGATTGAAAACAGCAACTAAAATTAGAAGTTGTAAGAAATATTCATCAACTCAGAAAAGTCTCTTCACTGTGAAGCAACAATAACGAGATTATGTTTCGGATCCACAGCCAGACAGAAGAAGCCACGTCACTGAGGGTCACCCTCCGCCTCCCCTCCATCCAAAGCTCCAAGGGAGCAGGAAGCCGACCCAGGAGCTGATCACAGCAGCCGATCAGAACCACATCAACGGGAGAGGCTGACCTGCCGCACTGAAGGAACCAAAGTAGTCACTAATGTAAAAACATGTTCAGTACCACTCCACAATAAGGCTTCTTTATAAAGGGTTTATTAATGCTTTATAAATGAGTTGATAAAACATTTTAAAACTATTTTCATTCCGTAAAGCAGTTTGAAATGATCAAGTGCTGTACTGTTAGTTATTCAGGTAATACAACTTGTTGCCTGTTGTTAATCTTAATTTATTTTATTAAATAACTTTATATGCTCAAAGTGCTTATATAAGTACAGCTTAGACAGTTTACAGCTGGAGACAGGTCCTGTTATTAAAACTTAAAGGATGAGCGCCCCCTAGTGGCTGGCTGCTGGTAATGGATGGATGGATGGATGGATGGATGGATACAGACAGACAGACAGACAGACAGACAGACAGACAGACATACATACATACATACCATACATAACATACATACATACATACATACATACATACATACATACATACATACA